TTTTACCTGCATCCTCGCCCTCTCCTCCCTCCCTCTTCGTAGAAGGTGGACATCTACAGTCTGGGTATCATCCTCTTTGAAATGTTCTACCGGCGAATGCACACCCTAATGGAGCGGGTTGCCGTGTTGACGGATCTGCGCAAACCCAAGATCTTCTTCCCCACGGACTGGGACTCCACCATATTGGTTAATCAAACGGCTCTGATTCGGTCGCTACTGCAACAGGACCCCTCCCGTCGTCCCAGCGCCTCGGTAGGGTCGCTCTCTTTTGATCTCTGATTTGGAGTGTAATGACTAAATCTACTTTAATACGATTCTGTAGAAGTCGTTTTGCACCCACTCTTACTGCAGCAGGCCGTTAATTGAGTGCTTATCAAGTAAGCAATCTTATTTTGACAGTGTCACAGGGACGCGAGTTGCCTTGCACCCAGGGCCTGTTGCCAGAAGTGCACGTGAATTGAGTCATGCGCGCAGACAAACAGCGTGCGCTAACGGCCGTTGTTAACACAGCGTGGGAAACTATTGGCCAGTGTGCATACGTGACGACCACTTATACCGCGTGGCAAACTATCGATCGGCGTGCGTGCGTGAAGACCGCTCACACAGAGGTCAACGTGCAGGCCAGAACACCGGTCACACACCATAGGTCACGATCGTTTCAGAAGGGGCAAGACTACGCTGGAGTGGCCAAGCTGAGAAAACCGTTATCTTTGTGTTGTCCTGAATCAAGCCCTTGCTACCAGAACCGGCTCTTGCTTTCTCTTCTGCCTACTTTTCGTGTCATAACAGACGGTGCCGGCTTAGAACCCACCCACTTGCGCAGAATTCATGGAAGGATAATCTCTCTGATACTGTCTCTAAGCCTGACCTTAATCCCCAACCTAATTTGGTCCTTTGCTAAAACCTTGCCCTGATACCAGCATCAGCCATATCCTTAAGTCTTAGCTTAATCTCTCAGAAACTTACCATTAGGCCCGGAGTAAGCCAGTATTTTGTACACAATGGTTTGCCAGATTGTAATATCTAGTTGCCATTTTCCCCGGTCTACTTTTTTTCAGTAGGCTGCTCACTTTAACCGACTTTGTAATGCATTTTTGGTTTTATACTCTCCATCTGCAGGATCTTTTGGCGTCGCCGCTGGTGCCACCCCTGAAATCCACTGAGTCCGCCTTTAGAAAACAGGTTCTGGAGGCCTTCAATAATCCCGATGGTAACCTCTACCGTTTCATCGTCAACAATCTCATGACAGTGTCCTGTTCTCGAGCAGCCGTGAGTATTATTGAATACGCTCTCCTCATCTTTTGCGTCCGAGCCTAAAATGTCCTGTCTTTGTCACTTAACGTCATGTCCTAGTATTCCTCATGGCCAAGACAACGAGCCCGTGGTGCAGTGGATTGGAGCGTTGGACTTTTGTCCAATAGTTTGTGGATTCGAGCCTCAGACGTCGCAGTATGGGGAAGTTTTGATGTGGCTCTCTGATGACGGCGTGGATGCGTGCTGAAGCAGATATTTCCATCTGGCTACTGTATACTGTACCACGGGCATCGCATGGGATGTTATAGACCACTTCTTTCTTAATTAGATAGCCAACCTGCGTTTTAGCCGGCACTAACTGCGCTCAAAATTAACTGTCAGAGTGAAGAGGCCTAACGATCTCATCATTGATACAGGGTACATCTTTGCATTGGCCAATACTCGCATTGTCGATTTTCCCTTCCAAAGAACAGATGAGAGTTTCTTGAGGCCGTGCGTTCCCATACATCATACATTGATAGGTCCATTGAGTTGGACGTAGCATACAGAAACCTCGGAGGGAAATGAAAGCGAACG